AGCGTTGTCAGCAGGTGGAGGGAGATGATCCAGCCCCTCTGCTCAGGGCTGGTGAGGCCACATGTGGAGTGCAGGCTCCCCAGTACAAGAGAGACAGGGTGATAATGGAGAGAGTCCAGCAGAGGGCTACGAAAACGATGAATGTGCTGTATAATCTCTCTTATGAGGAAAGGTTGAAAGACCTGGACCTGTTTATCCCAGAGAAGACTGACAGGAGATCTTATCAGTTTATACAAATATCTAAAGAAAGGGTGTCAAGATGAGGCCAGGCTATTTTCAGTGGTGACCAGCAATGAGACAAGAGGCAATGGCCACAGACTGAAACACAGGAGATTCTGTCTGAACATGAGGAAAAAATTCTTTGCTGTAAGGGTGACTGAGCATAGGAACAGATTGGTCAGAAGGTTGTGGAGTCTCTGGAGATATTCCAAACCCACCTGTACATGATCCTATGAAACAAGCTCTATGTGATCCTGCTTGTGCAGGAAGATTGGACTAGGTGATCTTCAGAAGTTTCGTCCAACCTGAATGATTCTGTGTAATTCTGTGTAATCTTTTTTTTTTTTTTTTTTTTTTTTTCACTGTAGTGATATCTACGGTATCTGAGTGATTTTCTGATTCTGCAAATACTTATTTCATGGACTGCTTGAGTTGGCTAGGATATGTGTCTTAGAAAATACATTACTGAGATGTTAGTCTTTTATTTGTCAACTAGATAAAACAGCCAGAGTTTTTTTTTTTTTTTCTTTTTATCCTACTTTTCTCAAAGCATTATATTCAGTTTCATAAACTGCACTTCCAAAACAGAGTTTGTAACAGAAGTAGTTTAACAATCTAGCTGATGCTCCTAGCATGCTAGAGCTGGACCTGGTTAGCCTTTGGATTTTTTTTTTCTTCACAAGAAAAATCTGCTTTTAGGAGTTGAGACCTTTGTGTGACTTCCGATACTCCTTATAGGATCTTCTAAGTTGTCCTGCCATTCTCTGTGATGGCTCCAGTCCATGGGATCACATATTCTTGACATGTTTTTTACTCTTGCCCTGTCCTGTCTTATGCCCTCTCCTGCTGATGTCTTTTTGGTCACTCTTGTATACTTGTTGAAACAGTTCTTTAACCTTACTCAGTAGAGGCTCAGTATGTTCATCCAACCCATGGTCTGGAGAGACTAATTAATAAGTGCTCTTTCACCTGGTGACGATTTCTGATCTCCTGAAGCATAGAGGAAAATGTGGTAATATTTCGCTTATTCCTGAGCAGAACACCTGTAAGTGCTGCCTTGATTTCTGTGATTAATCTATGTATTTGGAAAAATCTGACTTACACAGCACAGTTATTTCTCAATTAAAAAAGTGGTACTCAAAAATCTCCATTTAGGCCTTCTGGAAATCATAGGACTTCAAAAAATACTAAAAGAAAATGCTTATATGCTGATAAATTCTATAATTATATGCTTTGGAACTCAGCTTCCAGCTTTCAGTGGAAACTGAATTTTAATTGGTTCCAGAATAGGTTGCTAGGAGTAGACTTCTATACCTCCAGCAATGATCCTGGATAAAATGTCCCAAGTTTCTTTTCTACCTTTAATTTCCCTGGGCTGTGGCAATCACTGTGGTATAAATTGCATTTCCAAAACTGTCTCCCAATGGAGAACCTTGGCTTAAGAAATGTGTGTTTTTAAAAAGAGTCCGTAGATAGGAGCCATTTAGGAAGAACGTTGGTGGAAGTATCATGCTTGCCATGCTTTAAGTGTAGGTATAATGGGCATTTACTTCTGCCATTGTCTGTATGCAGCAGGATCCTGAAATAGTTGACCTTTTTATATCGGGGACAGTGGCCTTCATGTTCTGATTTTTATTTTTTTTCCTCTTCTTTTTTTTAATTTTATTTTACTTTTTAATAAAAATAAGAAAGTATGAAAGAAAAAGAAATCTGAAGAAGTATGCTTGCTTCTTCTGTTCTGCAAAACTATGGTTGGTATTCTGCAGTAGAGCATAAATCATGGCAGTCCCTTACTAAACAACTTCTTATTTCACTATTCCTGTTTTTGTAATTTTATTTGAGCATTAATGAATATATTTCCTGGGAACATTGTAAAGGAATCATTTTTTTTCTTTCTCTTTTTTTGGGTACCTTCCCCAGTTTTGTGACATATTTGACTATGGTGGGCAGGAGGAGTAGAGGAGGCAAAGGTCAACCAGTAAGTTATGTCACATCTACTCTCTGTTATTTAACCTCTGAATTATATTTTAAGATTTTATACTTAGACCGATCACCTTAGTATTTTGATTGCTATCCTTGGAAAATCATTAACAAGTACCCTTATTGCTCCCTGGAGTTTTCGACTCTGTTTGGTGTTTAAAAGGTCTGGTATGTATTTCTGCTTTCCCTTTCCCTTTCCCTGAGTGCTGCTTGCAAATCTTAATTATTTTTGACATAAAAGTTTGTAAAGTTTTGGGGTGTTGGGACTGGAGAAGGAAGAATTTACAGTGTGTCTGGAAGCTTGTTGAGTGGCTTCAGTTTCCAAGAACATTTAGCTTTTGTGTGCTTTTTCCTAAATTTTGCCTCCTGTAAACAAAACTGCTTGGTAACTCTGTATTTGAATATTTGATTTTTTTATAGTACATTGGAGTAGTGTTGATGTTTTTGTTTTTTTATTTTTAGTCTGTTGAAGCTTTTTCCTTTGATGTAAAAAATGCATGCATGCTTGTATGCATGCAGGTATGTTATTTGGGTGTCCTATCTCACCCTGAGATAGGGTCTAACTCCTGAACTAGAGCACAGGTTTTCTCATACATTGTATTCCTTAGTAAAGCTTCTCCAAAGTAACCTGTGGTTTGATGTGAATGCTCTGTTAACACCTGGGAGAAATTTCACTATAGTCCTTGCTTTGAATGTGGCAAGGAAGTATTTGGGATTTGGTCTTCCACATTCCAGATGAGTGCTTTATGTTGCTGAGAATATGGGAAAGTGTGGAAAGGAAGTGCCTGTCCTCTGCTTAATGTATGTTGTGGGTGATAATCACAGAGTGTTTTTGGTATATCCAAAGCTGCAAAACATGAAATGAAACTACTCCTAAGTCATTACTTGATGAAAATACTGACTGGCGTTCAAACAGGTATCTAAAGAACATACCTTTTTTTTTTTTTTTTCCCATTAACCTGTGAAAGCAACTATTTTTACCATTGCACTCATCACAGCTTTCACTTCAAAGGTAGTATAGTAGCTGTGCTTACACAGGGTTGTATTTTGCTATTTGAAGGTTCTCTTTCTAACTTTGTGTTTCTGCAAAAATTAAGACAAATCTATTTTTCTGAAGTTATATATGCTCTTCTTTAGGCAGTTTTTGTTAATGCAACCTTCTGTGACTTGCATGCCTTTCCTGTGAATGATCATTACAAAGCCTATTCCTTGCTTTGTGTGTCTCCAGCTGTAGCTATGTAATGAGTCTTATGAATATAGTATTGCATGTTAGCTTTTTGCAGAGTTGATACCTTTGGTCAGAAATTACTGTCTGTCAGCCACCAACACTGTGCAGTCTGAAACGTTAGGTCAGAGAAACCATACTGCCCTTTATGGTTTTCAAAATGGTGGTAAGTGAAATTAACAAATTAAAAATCAGGGAATGGTGTGTTAGTCAAAAAGTTAAGAATTGGCTGTGTACAAATGGTCTGTCACAGCAGATTTTTTGGATAGAATTTCCACAGTTTGTGTGAGCAATTGATAAACAGAAGAAGACAGAGGTCTTCCTGCATTAGCTGCTATGCTTGTGTCTGTTCATTGCTGGGAATTGGAGATTCATAAAAAATGGAATCAGTGCATTCATAGAAACATAGAATAGTTAAGGTTGGAAGGGACCTTTAGAGATCATTTCATCCGACTCCCCTGCATATGCATGGTCACCTAGAGCATGTGACACAGGATCGTGTCCAAGTGGGTTTTGAAGATCTTCAGAGAAGGAGATACTTATAAGCCCTTTGGGTAGAAGATGGGTGGATTGTTAGTTTGCAGAAGGTGAAGTTACTGAGGCTTCAGCTGCTGCTGTTGTTATTTCTTATTCCACATTGCCTGCTTGCTTTGGAAAGCTGTGTGTAGATCCATTTTTCTTATCATGCATCCTTTCTATTTTGTGTCTGCAGGAGAAGAAACTCATGGGCAGCTAGACTTCTGTTTTGATCTCCTTGCAGGTCAGGGAGACATGTAAAGTAGTCTGAAATCAGCAGCACTGATTATAGGTCTGATTGCTGTAACAAACTGAAAATTATTCCATTACCTGTGAAAATAAATATATGTCTTCCTTCTGGGCTAATCTAATGTCAAAGAAACCATTGAAAATAGAATATTTCCATAGTAGCATTAAGCTTCTTATTAAGCTCTTATTATAAGTATATACAAAAAAAAAGTATCAGGTGACAAAACTGTGCATGAATCATTTTTTTAATAATTCACGAGTTTAGCGTAGGTTGCATATTGTGAAAACTTCCAAACAAAGAGCTGAGAACTGTTATTAATGAGGGGGGAGGGGGGGAGAAACAAGCATTGTTTTTTATTACTGATTTGTTTCCCTGCCAACTTGACTTTTTGAATAGAAAATCAAATGGTTATGAACTTACTACCTGTATGTAAATTTCAGTAGGTTTTTTCCTGCTGGATAAATTGTTATCCAGATACTGTATGTTGTTGTTTTTTTTTTTTTTTTTTTTCAAATGGGGAAAAAGTGTTTAATGCACCCATTCATTAAATACTAATTTCTTTTATTAGTGATTAAGCTAAGACCACATTTTTATAGGCATCAAGGGATGCCATCTGCTTCAGGCTTTTTTGTTATT